CACGGTAGAACATAGCTCAGACATTTGAGGTATGCGACTGGAGATTTAAAACCAAGTCCAGCAACCTACGTCAACCCGTTGCGTAAATCTATTTACTTAAAAACGGGCAACGGCTGGCTATCCCAACACAGTTTGCAATTGCAATCGCTGAGGAGCGCAACTGATGCCCAAGTATACTTGCCACTCATACTGTGGATGGACGAAATCCTGCACCCCCTTGAAACCATGGGAACCATATTTATCGGGAAATCATAATTCAGGGTTTCTTGGGTGGTGCGAAATGGATTTCGTCCATCCACAGTATTCATAATCCAGCATGTCTCTTACTGCTTGTAGGTGCACCGAAGCACGACAGGCAGCCACGGCCTTGTAGCTGAGAGTGTGAGGGTAGCGAAAGCGGATGTCATTGGCCGAGCGCGGCAGCGTTGCCCTGTCCTGAACAAGGCTAGGCCGAGTGCAGGAACTCTCCCGGACGGACACCTCAGGTTGCAACAGCCCTGGTCCCCTAAAAAAGAAAACCAAGAGGATGCGGTTTTTTGGCCATGTCAAAAGCCAAATCGTACCCCCAGCGAACATCCCAATCCCCACTAAAATCGCCCAAAGTGGGTGGTGCACCTACCCCAACATGGTACCATTGGTTTTGACCCACAGCCATTTGTTAAAACAATAGTGGTGCAGACATGTTTCTGAATGATTGAAACAGTTGGCACAGCCTTTGAGCCGAGTTGGATTAACATTTGAAGGCAGCCGACGACCATGCAGGTCAGCTGCGGGGGTCTGCCGGGTAAGTTGCAGTCAAACAACTGGGACAGGTACCAAACAACAAAAGGCCTTTGCCCATGAGCTTCGGGAGAGCCAAACTCAAAGAGAAAAAGGTGTGCTGATTCTTTGATTACAAAGTGATCATGGAGCATGCTCGGAAGCTTTGGATGGGACAAGTGCTGATCCGTCACGCACTGTTGCGGTGCACACCGAACAATGGGATCTGAAGCCTTGAACAAACCCACACACCGCCGACATTGCGGAGGCGTTTCAAATACTTAAGAGAGGATAGAGGATAACCTCATTTTGCCGAAAATCTGGAAAAACTCGGTGTTTTTGACATCGTGTTTGGTAAAAAAATACCGGGGAGCGCAGGGAAAATGCCAGGAAGTGCAGGGAAATGAGGGGAGGAAATAAAGGGAAATGCCAGGACATGCAGCGGACAGGAAGTTGACATGACAGGAAAGCAAGGGGAAATTAACGGGAAACGAAGGGGGAACTGAAAGGAACATGAAGGGGAACTGAAAGGGACATGAAGGGGAACTGATAGGGACATGAAGGGGAAAGAAATGAAAACGGGGGGAGTGAGGGGGGACTGCAAGGCAAACACAGGACAAGGAAACCAAGGGACACGAAGGGAGATGTAGGGAAATGACTGGCAATGAAAGAAAGGGACATACATGGGATATGAAGGGGGAATTGAAAGGAATGGAAGGGGACATTACGAGGACATCCTCGAAAAATGACGAGACATGAACAGGACATGAAGGGGAAATCAAGAAGAAAGCCAGTAGTACGAAGACAATTCAGCGGTCATGAAGGGGCAGTGCACGGAAATGGAGGCAACTCAGGGGGGACGTAACGCTGCAATGCAGAGAGAGAGAGAGAGAGCAAGAGAGAGAGGGACAGAGACAGAGACAGGCACAGGGACAGGGACAGAGACCGAGAAAGAGGGAGAGACAGAGACAGAGTCAGAGTCAGAGTCAGAGAAAGAGACCGAGATCAAGAAAGAGACAGAGCCGGAGACAAAAACCGGAGAGAGAAACGGAGAGAGAGAGAGAGAGAGAGAGAGAGAGAGAGAGAGAGAGCAAAAGAGAAAGAGAGAGAGAGGGACAGAGCGGAAAGAGAAAGGAAAGAGAGAGAAAAGAGAGAGAGGCAGCCACCAGGGGGCGGGGGGCAGAGACACGAGGGTGGGGAGAAGGAGGCATAGCGAGGAGGTAGAGAAAAATCGAGACATAGAGAGGAGGGAGAGAGAGAGAGAGAGAGAGAGAGAGAGCGAGAGAGAGAGAGAGAGAGAGAAAAAAAAAAAGAGGCAGAGCGAGAGACATAAAGAGACAGAGACGCAGAGAGAGAAGAGAGAGAGAGAGAGAGAGAAAAAGATCGAGACATAGAGAGGAGGGAGAGAGAGAGAGAGAGCGAGAGAGCGAGAGAGAGAGAAAGAGAGAGACAGAGAGAGACAGAGCGCGAGAAAGAGAGAGGAAGGAGAGAGTCAGACAGAAAGAGACAGAGACGCAAAGAGAGAGAGAGAGAGAACGAGAGAGAGAGAGAGAGAAAAAGAGAGGCAGAGCGAGAGAGAGAGGAACGAGAGAGTGAGACAGAAAGAGACAGAGACGCAGAGAGAGAAAAGAGAGAGAGAGAGAAAAAAAAAGATCGAGACATAGAGAGGAGGGAGAGAGAGAGAGAGAGAGCGAGAGAGCGAGAGAGAGAAAGAGAGAGACAGAGAGAGACAGAGCGCAAGAAAGAGAGAGGACGGAAGGAGAGAGTCAGACAGAAAGAGACAGAGACGCAAAGAGAGAGAGAGAGAGAGAACGAGAGAGAGAGAGAGATATATATATATAGCGAAGGAGAGAGAGACAGAGGACAAGGGAACACACGAGGGAAGAGAAAAGAGAGAGGGGGGCAGGAGAAACGGGAGAGGACAATGAAGGCGGACTGAGCCGGAGGCTCTAAAGTTGAGTCACAAGTCACGGCCAGGGCCCTTCAGGCACAGAACCCTTCTAAATCCTTTTGGCGTGAGAAGCCCGAACTGCCCTTCAAGCTCCCGTGAGGGTAAAATGAGCTCACCGACATGTTGGACTTCTTTCAAGGTGCCAAAGCTGCCATATGTCAAAGGACCTAACAATCACAAAACCACCCTTTAAGGCTTTAGACCATTGCCTGCACTGGATCAAAGGATCCCCTTGTCGCCGGCAAGCAACGGGATACAACAAAAACACGCATGAAACAGTTGTTTGGACGGAAACCCAGGGGAAGCCGGGGATTTGGAGCCCGGACGCCCAGCCCAGCCGACCTGAAGCTCCGTCAATGGCGTGACGAAGCCCCTGCGGTCCACCTTTTCGGTGGGGTTGTCGTGGGTCAGCCTGGCGTCCAACGGAGATCTACCCTCCCACGTTGCCATGGCACCTGACAGAGGGTCTGTTGAGGAGGAAGTTGATTTTCCAGGTACTCTCCCACAAGTACAATGTGCTATCTTAATTAGTGGGGAGGATGGGTAATGTAAACCCCGTATTAGTCTGTAACCCCCCCCCCCTTGAAGGTCGGAAGGTTTTGGGGGGGCAAGATTTTGGAAGGTTTGTTGCCTCCACCCCCTAAGTAATCTGGAATTGAGTTTCCATTTGATTTAGTATTGCTGGAGCTTCCTGTTGAGATCTCAAATTGAGTTTCCATTTGATTTAGTATTGCTGGAGCTTCCTTTTGAGATCTGGAATTGACTTTCCATTTGATTTAGTATTGCTGGAGCTTCCTGTTGAGATCTTGAATCGAGTTTCCATTTGATTTAGTATTGCTGGAGCTTCCTTTTGAAATCTGGAATTGAGTTTCCATTTGATTTAGTATTGCTGGAGCTCCCTTTGAGATCTGGAATCGAGTTTCCATTTGATTTAGTATTGCTGGAGCTTCCTTTTGAAATCTGGAATTGAGTTTCCATTTGATTTAGTATTGCTGGAGCTTCCTTTTGAGATCTGGAATCGAGTTTCCATTTGATTTAGTATTGCTGGAGCCTCCTTTTGAGATCTGGAATTGCGTTTCCATTTGATTTAGTATTTGGAAGGCCTGGTTGTCTTTTTTGGGGGGTGGGGCCGATGGACCGCACTAATTAGGGGGGGTTATTAATTGGGGGTGTAAGGGGCTAATGTGGGGTACCCTTTGAAACCTTCTATTCTTGACTTTTTTAGTAAAGGATTCAAGAAGAAATCGACCATCTCAGAACACTTTTTGTTTTGTGGTGTGGGCAGGCCCGACACCATCCAGAGAAAGCATGGCAAGCAGCATGAGTCGACAATCCTCAACATCAGCAGCATCAGCTAGCACCAAAAAAATATTACATTGGAATGAGCTCAAGAAGCAGTGGAGAAAATGGTATAGCAGCAGCCATCTGGGGGAGGGACCGGTCTAATTGGGGGGGGGGGTTGTTTTGGAACCCTTTTTTATTTAGGGGTAATTTCTGAGTTATGAATTGTTTAGTATTGGGGGGGTTCACCCGGACCGGACTAATAGGGAGGGATATCTAATACGCTGTTAACATTATGTGTCTTCTTTTTCACATTTGTCCGCGGAAAATCCGCAATGTTGGGAAAACATGGAAACTGACTTCTGTCACGGGGCCGGGGTTTGTCTCATCCCGCTCCGGATGCGGAACCTGTGCAAAAGGTCAAAACACAGGCAAGGGGAAAACCAGGGTCCCCTAGTCTTTATCAGCATGATTGCTGTCATACCTGTACCTATACTAAACGGGATCGTCTCCCAAAAATCCATCAAATAGTTTGACCCCACCTGGCCGGAAAGTAAAGGGCAAGAGGTCAACCAGGGCAACGTTGGACCTTGGAATGGATCACGGAAGCAACCCAGGGCTTTTAGGGAAATTGCTGGACATCTAATTTGGACATTTGTGCTTGAAAGTACCGGGTAGGTAGACAGTTGCATAAAATCGAAGTCGCGCAAGGCGCCATTCCAAAAGGAAGATATCTATCATCGGCTCTTCCAATCCGATTTAGTTGATCCATCTGCGGGGCTTACAAAATGGCAACCCTCATTTGGGGGCCTGACTGACCTGACAGCAATGGGCCGCGAGCAGGGCTGACCAGCTCAAGTGTTGAAACCATCCCTGAACAAGCAGCTGAGTCGCAATCAATCTCTGGCGGTAAACAAGTCTACTCAAAACCAGGCAAATGATCATGATATGCACAAGTATATGCGTTTAACTATGGCAGTGCCCGCCACTAATCTTCATGCCTCTGTATGTATATGTTCAATATATCATGTATGCATCTCTTTATAATTCATACCTATATATATATATATATGTCTATATTCATGATAGAGGAAGTGGCTCAGCTGCGTGGTTGTGTCTAAAGACAAGAACAAACCACTTTGTTTGTTGCAGTCCCCTTCTAAAAATGAACAGAACCACAAAACATCAAGAATCTAAACACTTGAACCAAGTACAGTCAAGTATATCTAAATATCTCTCTCTCTCTCTCGCAGTTTCTTTCTGGTCGCACCCGGCGATGCGCATCACCCGGTAGTTGGTGTACCGGGTCAAGTCCTGGCCATGCAGCTAGAGCCCGATAGGCGAGTGGTCCTCTTGTTTCGAGGGCTGTGGTTGAAATGAAATCATCCGTGATACAACAGAAAGGGCTTCCCAAAGACTAACCTCCCCCCCACTACAGAAACATATTCCCAGTCACAGTGGGGATGAACCCCGAGTGATCCCACCTTGCAGGAAGTAGAGAGAAGGAGCTGAGCCATGGCTTAAGGCCAGGGGCAGAATCCTTTGTAGTCGCGGGGATTTACCATCCATGGTGAAACCTGGTAAGGAACCCTGGTCAGAATTGGGATGGCCATGAACTTTTATGGTTATGAGCTTTTATGGTTTGAAGACCCGTGCTTGGACATGAATTCCTGGCCAAATGTCCAGCAAATCAATACCTGACTTGTTTCGTAGATGGCGGGAGGAGCAGCTTGCGGGCGACACCCCCTGCTAAAGTGATGGAAAACCAACCACTAAACCAGCTAAAACCGAACAGGGGAGGCTGGGAACCAAGAAAGCGGGGTGCAGTTTCCAGAATGCTGACACCGGAAACGCCGGGTCACAGGCTGAAAGCGGACTGTGCTTCTTGCAAGTTAGTCTGGCGGAATCTCTCTTCCTCCCAACAATCGGTGGCAATCAAATTGCCAATAAGCTTGTTTGCTCGTTAAACACGATTTGGTGCAGGCAGTTAATTTAAACAAGTAATCACCCAACTCGGTTCTTTGCCACATACTTCGAGCTGCTGAATCAAATATTCGCAAAACAGGCGGCCCGCATCGCAAACTAAGGGACGGCACTGAAATAGGGCCCGAAACCGGGAAAAAGGGGTTGGACCCGTGAATCGCGGAGCTGAAGATCATCAGATACTGCGGTTTTCTGTTTTGGAACCGAGCGTTGCCAGAAAAAAACGCTGTCCCCGGCAACCCGGGCGTGCCCACCCTCCCGCGTCGCCTTCTTGCGGCGGATGTTGTGGCGGCCATCCGACATGAGCCCCCGCATGTGCTGGCGGATGGTGAGGCTCATCCGGTGCGGCGTCTCCTATTCAAGCGCACATGGCCAAACGCGAGTTGCACTATATAGATCTTTAAGAGTTTTGGCCAAGCGGACAAGACACTAGATGCAATCACGTAATGCAAAGGCCTCGTGGCGTCTGTTTAGCTAAGGCCACTGAAGTCAAGACCTCACCACTGCATCCGGCAACAAGATGGCCCTGTAAATGAAAACGCATCCTTGTCTAGCACTCAATGCAGTGTAACCTACAGTGAATACCCTAGCTTCAGCCGCTCTATGTTCTGCCTGACAAAGTGGGTTGCGGCTGCTAAACCGAATATGTAAACCGGTGACAAATCCTAGAGCAATTTGCACTGTCCGACCCTTGGTATGTGAGCAAATATTAAACTTTGTCTTTTGCAGCCACCCGCTGAAGATGAACGGACCCAACACGACTAAACTCTGCAAAGAACAGTGAAGTGGAGGACTTGTTCATTGCTCGCTGGCAATACGTGCTGAGCCCGCGACGGGCTCCATGATATTGTCGAAGATGCGCTCGGATTGGCCGGCACTTGCCGCCTGAGCGTTCCAGAGCAGAGAGCCCCCTGTTCTTTTGCCACTGATGGGAAACACGTGGCCCTTCGTCCAGAAATGATTTCCCTTTTATGCGCTACAATGAGGTGCTAGCTGTGAGTAGTACTTGTTTTTGTTACAGAAACTACGGGAAGGATGCATTTTCTGGGGGCACCAGCAGAGGTGCCCCAAGCAAAACCGTTGCGGGCTGGCATGCCCCTTCGACTCCGATTTGAGAGGCTCGTATCTTGGCAAGCAGCTCCAGCTGCGGGGCCTTGCGCTGGTCTCGCATGACTCTTCGCGATATATCTTGACAAGGTGCGGGTTGCTTTCCCCCGGTAGCATATCTGCTGCATATCTCAGCGCCATAATATATTGAAACATACAAAAAAGCTTCTGTCGTCAGGCAAAGCAGGTTCTTTGATGCATGCTTGGTTCGGTCGCACGTCATCGCTCCCTCATGGGCAAATAATGGAAGATCAAACACTTCTCGGTCAAAGGTCATGCCCCAAAGCAACACATCCCAACCCTTCTGTGGGTTTCAAGAACATGGTGGACCCCTGCAGTTTCCCCAATCTTGAGAAACATAACAATCATTTCAATTCACTGACTGGAAGCGATAGGTGGCCTTGTGCTTGCTATTCGTAATGCTCATTGATCCCTTTTCCGTTGGTTTGGTGTTGGGGGTACGGATGGCTAGCACAGCTATACCCTTCCTTCAAGAATCCTCGACGCTAACGGAAGGTTACTTTCCATTTCACAATCACTGGTATCAACCTCCATTTGGACGGGTCTCTCAGATTCAACATTTGAACACTTCTCAACAGTACTTCAGTTTCCATTTCAACCACCATTTACCAAGTAGAGACGGATTTGGAGGATGTCACCAAGTTTATGGACCTTCCCCTACGTAAAGCTGCTCGCCTTCTGCTCCTCCGTGCGATCTGCGCGCTTGGGCTTCTTCTTTCTCTTGCCCTTCTTGGCGAAGGCCCTCACTTGCAGAGGCGCCTCAAGCGTAGCCCAACTTCGGCGGGCCAAAAGTCTAGAAAACGGTTTGGAAAATCTGCGCTGGTGGATTTCACCTTACCAAGCCCCCTATAAGTTATTTTTTGGTACTGTTTTAGTACTCTTTTAATATCCTACAGGGGTGGAGCCATAAAAGCCGCATCCAAGCCGTTTGCTGGAAACAGACCCCCTGAACGCTTGAAAGGAGGTGCTCCCCGGTTCCCAATTCGTGTGGAACCAGGCATGTTCCTTGCGTTTGAAGGATGGGTTCCCTTGGTTACAGGGAGGCGGAATCAGTCACTGGGTTTCAATGAGCTCCATAATTATGCATCGTCATCCGTAGGATCCGCATGAATCCGGAGTGGGACACTACCAGGGGAGCCACTACCATCAACCCGGATACCGTGAGCCTAGCTTTTCAACAACGCGACAAGTCAGCCACCTCGCATAAGAACTCAGGATAGCTTGTTTCAACGACCCAACAAGCAAGTCCTTTTCTTCTGTGGGTTGGGGTGTTTTTTTTTTGACTAGCCCTGGTTTTTGGCTAACCCTGGTTCCAGGCTGGCACTGTGGGCAAAGTTTTACTCTGCGTCTTTGGCTCTTTCCTTTGCGACGCATATTACACTAGCTCTTCAACATCCCCAGCATCGTTTTCAACATCCCCCGCATGTCCGACCAACATCCCTAGCATCACCAACAAATTGTGGGTAACAAAATCCAAAAATGTAGCTGGCGGGTTGACGGGGTCAAAAAAATAATGCTTCAAACAGGAGGGCATTTCAATCCCAGCAAAAAAAACAAACAAACAAACAAACAATGCAGGGGGGTTGGGGGGGGCGGCAGCCCCCCCATGATGTTCGAAGAATTGATGATTCAACTTGGGGTGCAAATAATTAATTCTCTGTAGAAAATCTAAAACGTAGCGGGGGGGGTTGGGGGGGGCGGCAGCCCCCCCCATGATGTTGGAAGAAGTGATGATTAGACATACATGGACTACACAGATTACCTAAAATGTCGTATTTTGCCGCATTTTCTCGCGAAATTTGACGCTCGAAAAAGTGATGATTCAAACAGGGGTGCAATTCAATCTCTGCCGGGCCAGTAAAGTGTCGTATTTTACAGCATTTTCTCGCGAACTTGACGCATTTTACACTAGCCCGTCAACATCCCCCGCATGTCCGACCAACATCCCTAGCATCACCAACAAATCGTGTGACGGGGTCGAAGAAATGATGATTCAAGTAGGAGGGCATGTCAATCCCTAAAAAAAAATGAATAAAAAGTAGCGGGGGGGTTGGGGGGGGCGGCAACCCCCCCCACGATGTTGTTTGCAGAAGTGATGATTTGAATAGGGGTGCAATTAAATCTCTGCAAAAGTCTAAAAAGTAGCGGGGGGGTTGGGGGGATGTTCGAAGAATTGATGATTCAACTAGGGGTGCAACTAATTAAATCTCTGCAGAAAATCTAAAACGTAGCGGGGGGGTTGGGGGGGCGGCAGCCCCCCCCATGATGTCGGAAAAACGCCACCTGCCGAAGAGGAACTGGGAATGCAGAGGATGCGAAAAGCCAAAAAGCCACCAAAAGCCGCATAAACCAGCAAAAAGCCGAAAAGCCTAGAAGCCCAGAAGCCGAGAAGCCAAGAAGCCGAAAAACCAAGAAGCCAAGAAGCCAAGAAGCCAAGAAGCCCAGAAGCCCAGAAGCCCAGAAGCCGAGAAGCCAAGAAGCCGAAAAGCCAAGAAGCCAAGAAGCCGAGAAGCCAAGAAGCCGAGAAGCCAAGAAGCCAAGAAGCCAGGAAGCCAGGAAGCCAAGAAGCCAAGAAGCCAAGAAGCCAAGAAGCCAAGAAGCCAAAAGCGAAAACAAATCCAAAAAAAAACGAAAAAAATCCTAAAATAAATACCCCTCCTCCTTTTTCTGACCCCGGAACCAACCCCCAGCCAACGAACCACCCAACCACCCAACCAACCAACCAACCAACCAACCAACCAGCCAGCCAACCAACCAACCAACCAACCAACCCAACCAACCCAACCAACCCACCAACCAACCAACCAACCAACCAACCCAACCAACCAACCAACCAACCAACCAACCCAACCAACCAACCAACCAACCAACCAACCAACCAAACCCGCTCACCCAGCCAACCAGCCGACCGGCCCCGCTCACCCAGCCAACCAGCCCAGCCAACCAACCAACCAACCAGCCAGCCAGCCAGCCAGCCAGCCAACCAACCAACCAACCCACCCAACCAACCCAACCAACCCACCAACCAACCAACCAACCAACCAACCAACCAACCAAACCCGCTCACCCAGCCAACCAGCCGACCGGCCCCGCTCACCCAGCCAACCAGCCCAGCCAACCAACCAACCAACCAACCAGCCAGCCAGCCAGCCAGCCAACCAACCAACCCACCCAACCAACCCAACCAACCCACCAACCAACCAACCAACCAACCAACCCAACCAACCAACCCAACCAACCAACCAACCAACCAACCAACCAACCAACCAACCAACCAACCAACCAACCAGGGTTGGGGCCAACCAGGGTTGGGGCCAACCAGGGCTAAGCAAAAAAAAACACACGACCCTCTTCTTTGTTATTAAAAAAAGAAGAAGAACAAAATCAAAACAAAATCGGGGGGAGCCTATGCTAAACAAATAGCTGGCTGTGATTCGGCCAGGGTTGCCGGGGCTGGGATTTACTTGTTCAGTGAGCTGGATTGCCTCTCGGCCTCAGTCTTGGGAGGCCTCATGTTGACCCCGTTGTACATCCACCCCAGCTTAGTATTACAGGGGTGGGGACCCCTCCAAAAGTGGTCTGATTCCCCACTAAACCTACGGACACGCCCTATGAAAAGACATGGGGTTGAAATTCGTATGGGGTCAATAACCCTTCAGTATGCCAGAAATGGCTCGCTTTCCGAAATCCACACGTCAATTCCAAGGAAAGATGTGCGCACCCCTTCCAGCCGCCTAAACGACGAGATAACGCTAGCCGATGCTCGCATAGTGCACTGTTGCATGTGCCAGTGCCTGGCTGCTTCTCCAAATGACGTTCATTGAACGCGCCAAGGAATGGAAAGGAACTTGGACACTTCAATACGGCGTTTTGTTCCTCTTGGCTTCCCTTGAACCTAGCCAGAATCGGGTACCCTCAAAATAGAAAGAAAGACAACCATCCAAGTGCTTGCTGCTTGAAGTCCAGGCAATCTGTTAGATCCCCCATAGAGCTTTGCAGGGTTGAGCTTTTCTTCTACAGACTCAATGATTATCCCTGACACCGACAAGCAACCGCTTCCCCAAACAGACGTGCGAGCTCGAGCCAAACTTCCTAAGCGCACTCCCGAAGGCCCTTCGTTCGTGCATAAGCATACTGTGATTGAAAGAATTCCATTTCGCACCGCCTAAGAAACTGTGAACATGATGACTCCCCTGTGAATCCCGACAAAAAATGGTTTCAACCACGGATTCAAAGTGGTGCGACATGAATTTTGTCCGCATAGAACTCCTTCCCCTACAGATCGAGGCCGCAGGCTGCAAAGCCGAAGATGTCACGCCCTGGCGTTTGCCATATGCGGGACTCAAAGCCGCAAAATTGATGTGAGGGGCACAAAAACACTGTTCAAAATGCAGGGCTGGCAAATCCGAATCCTGTTCCCTGAAGAAACATCACCTGGCCACGAACATGGTTTGTGCAACCCAGCTCCTCTTCTCCACTTCCGTTTTAATTGGAAGGGCAAGCCTGGACTGAGTTGCCTCAGTCTTGACTGTCGGTCACGGCTGCGTAGAGTTTTTGTGGGGCCCTTGAGTCGGAAAAAAAGGGGACCTGGATCCGAGCGAAAAGACGAGACGTGGTTGCCACAGCACACACGGAAAGGAAGCGAAGCAAATGCAAGCCCTGCGCTTCCAGTAACCTGCAGAGCAGGTGGCTAAGCCTTCTGTGACCAGCCACGAAACAACAACTTACTCCCATAGTTTCCGCCATGATCAAGGATAAGCTCAATAGACTAGGTATTAAATATATTTTGGGGCCTGTCTCAAAAGCATCACTTCCACACACCAGGCCTCTGAAAGGATTAAGCAAATGTGCTTGGGAATGATTCAAAGGGCGGTAGATTCGGATGGGCCAAACGCCAAACAATACTCAGCGAAACGAATAAACAGCTTGCGTCACAAAACGAAATCCATTTGGGGTCAACAATACGTCCAGCTGCATGCTCCATGGTTGGACGCCTCTCCCCAAATTGAACGCAGCCCAAAAGTCAGCAGTTCTTCATCTGAAACCTTATTTGCGGGACCTCCGATGGGTTTCACCCTATACACTGGAAACATGTCGTATGTTAGATTCTGTTCCATATCATAGTCAACCGTGAATTGAACATGCATGCGGCACCCTGTTTCTGGGCTGTCCTCAGATCCCCTGCAAAAAGTTGAACGTTTGGTGGGCTAAATGGAAACCTCCCCTACACCAACTAAAACCCCCCAAAAAAAAACAAGGAACCAGATGGCTAACGGCTAAAGCTTCAGGTCCCTTCCCCGAACTTCCAGCAAAACAGCATCAACAACGCCCTGGCTCTGCCTGGCTCTGCAAACCGCAAGGCCCGGAGCATGACGTCTGGATGGGAACTCAATCCCCCTGAAGTTAACTGTTGCTTTATGTTTAGCGCAAACAAAACAGCATTTCAGCTTCCTTATAATTGGTGGTTCGGAGCCCGGTGGTTTGGTGGTTCAAATCCAAATCCAAACCACCAATTGAGGGTTCCCTGAGCATTTCCCCAACAGTGGAAGTGTAAGGATCCCACCAAATGGAAGCCTTCGTGATGTTCAGGGTATCTATGCACTGTCCGAACATTTCTTGAACTAGACTTGTTGATCTTCCTATCCTTGTGAAGGTAGGAAGAACAACAACATGTGTGGTGTGTGTATAAGGCCCTCAGATCGGGTACACGACTAATGAGAAGCAGGCAGGTACAAAGCTTCCACATCGTTGGGTGGGTAAAGGGGAGACTTGTGATTAGAAGTCAGCAGGGACTGACTCGTCAAGCTTGCAAGCTTGAGCCTCCAATGTGCCACGCAACAAACAAGGCCAGGTCTGCTTGAGTTCCAAATTCCTTGCAGAAGCGCTTTCATGCTTACCTAAATCTGAGCATCTGTCAGTGCACTTGATCAACATTCCTGTCTACCCCGCGTCAATAATGCATCTGATCATACTTGGGTGTTCGGAACAGCTAGCCAGTAGTCAGCAACCTAGTCTAACACACTTGCAGTACAAGTCAAAGTAGTTGTATCGGGTATCATCAAGGTTACTGACCGCTTCGGGCCGAACTTCCAGCAGCACACGCTGAAAATTTTCCTCCTCGGGAACTGTGGAATGGTGGCGCCAAGAATCCACCCCCGGCGAGTGGCCTTTGGGTGGAAACTCGGGGCATCTGTGAGCCGGTGGATTGCAGTGCCAGCCCTGAAAACAATTCAGGCCCCGTCTCTTGGCACGAGCCATACGTTTGGCGGCTTTCCCGGCGTTTCACTTTTAGCTCTTGCCCCATGACGGGCAACGCTGGGAGGGAGCCGAACCATCAGCCTCGCGGCTGAGGCGTGTGACACTCAAAAAGTTGAGAGCGGTGACTCTTACCTCGAGCAGCCTCATGGCTGATGGTCACCTTGGCCAGGGGATGTGGTTGCCGACCGGGTCTGTTTCTTAAAGCACCAGCGCCATGCAGAAAACCCAGAAAATAAAAAGATGAAGACACACAACAAGGGATGGCCCCATGAATCTACACACAGGTTCCTGCTAGATCCCCGGCGCAAGCTGCCTCACACGGCGCAAGGCGGCACATCCACTGTACCAGAGAAAAAAGAAGAAGAAAACAAAACTGCTTGCGGTGGGAACATTGGTGAATCGCCTGACTTTTGCAAGACATCTAGCAAGTGCCCTGACTTCCAAATGGCAACATGTTGACCAAACCTCATATTATGTGTTTGGCTTCAACTTGAAGCAAGCAGGCGCACCAACTCAGGACTGTTCTGGACAACTATTCATTTCGCCGACATCCGTGCAAAGGCTCCAGCATGTTGCAGCCATCGACCATTTCCCGCCGCAAAGGAAGAACCACTCACTGGACTGGGTGCCAGTTGCTAATGGTTTTTACAATATTTGCACAATATTTTGCACATGATGAAGACTTCTTTTCTGGAGGGTCCCTGAGTCATAACTGTCACGACTAAGGGACCCCCAGGAAAGAAACAAATATGTTCAAAATCGGATGCAAACCCAAACCCTTTTTGAGGTTGCGATATGACATGGTAAAACGTCGGAGCTGAGTTACTGAAGCTTTGCCCTCAACTATCATGGCCTTGGACAAGGGTATCCCCAAGAAGAAAATCAAACATCTCAATTAGAGGGGCATTAGCCACTGTTGAGGGTTTAGATGCCTTGTCCCCAAGAATAAAATCGTCAAACTGCCCCACAAATATCTTAACAGGGCTCCTTGAAAGATACATTTTGCAACCGCTTGAAACATGTTGCTCTTTCCACACCGAAATCAAGGGAAACCACCATTTACAAGTTGCAATGTGTATCATGCGTAGAATGTATCCGGATCCCATATGGCTGTCAAAAATCGGTACCGAAGATGGAACCAATCGGTAAATGGAACCCATCGGGAAACCACCGCCCTTGAGGGTTTATAATTGCCTCGGAGCCGGGATCCGAGCCGGCCTGAGTAGAGGAAGAAGCCGAAGAGGCCCTCGTCGGGAAGAGCGCCTGCCTCGCTTCCGGATGAAACCATGGGAAAGTTGTGGTATTTACAGGGAAGTCCTCATTTTGATGGATTGATTGTTGGTATTTACAGGGGGATCGAATCATTTCAGGGATTACTTGCTGGCATTGACAGAAGAATCGAATCATTTCAGGGCTTCTTAGGTGGTGCGATATGGTTGTTGTCCGTCCACAGCATGATAGCTTCTACAGCATGACGTGGCTCTGGGTCAAAAATAGGATAACCCCAAAAGGGGACCATGGCAAGTGGAAACATGGACCAAAACCTGTGGTGCCCTGGTGGCTTAATTTTGATCCATACCCACACAGGCCCTGCTATAAACCCAGCCAAGCCAACGGGGGGGGGGGGGGTTGGGCACTGCTCAGCGGATCCACTTGCCTTATTCCTTCCTTGCATAATTACACAGCTTGGAACTCCACAAAACGATCCCCAAAAAGGAGATTCCTCTAGAAACGATGGGTACCCTGGAGTTCATGTTGCTCTGCTGGAGTGTACTTGTTTGCACAGAAAGCTAAGTGCAACAACTGAAGGGACCCCTGCTTCTGCGGGTGCAAAGTAGTCAAGCATTGCCACCTGTGCTGCACAAATGAACCAGGGGATGTGCATCATCCCCTTGCTTGGTCAAGCAGGGTTTTTGGAGGCGGATGATGATCCCTCCCTGAGCAATTAGCCTGTTTTGAGAAGAAGGCAAGTGCAACTGGCAAGCTTCCTTCACTCTCTGTGGCAATTAGCCCGATGACTGAGTTGAATTTGGGGCCAGAACGCAGGGTGCGGCTTTTGGTCAAGGCTTGTAAGACAAGTTGACGAGCACCACAAGGTCATCAGCCCCGGCATGGGTCTTCCATGAGTTCCATGTTCCGTGGCGGGTATCGTCAAGACCAACGCTGCCAAGCCGCAAGCGTCTCGGCTTTTTGGAGCAACAACAGGGCTCCCTATATGTCCCCTTAAAACATCATCCCCACCACGGGATACTCACCTTTCATGGGCCAAAAAGGAGATGTTTCAAACCACCACGAAAGGGAAATATAGGGACCCTTGAACACAGAATGGCTAAACATGTTGGTCCCTACTGCTCCTTGCTCTTGTCCTCACCCCGCAAAGAACATATGCACCTGCTTGTTCGGACATAATGTTTTAGACATTGCGATTGTTGGCACCGGAACTAACAGGTCACACGTGCCTGTTGCTCAAACACGGAAGCAACCACACGTATTGTGGCAGTGGCATGTCTCGTGCCGACCAGCAGAACAACATTGATAGAGCGGCTGATTCTTCCCAGAAAGCCCCCCAAACCTGGGCCCCAAACCAGTCTTTACGCAAACAGGTGCACATTGGACTTGTTGAGGTGACTGCCCAAAACAGGTTCCACACGTGTCCACATTGAAGTCAACACCTCCAAACAAAGAGTTTGACGTTTGTTAACTCAGCTGTCAAGTCTCCCGTGGCATCTCATCTGCAGCAACAAGTGCCTCATCACAATCCAAGCTCCTAAGACATGCCATGATGGTTTAAGCCTCAAATGGTGGACCAAGCATGCCTTGAGAATACGGCAGAATCCTAGAAGCTGAGCAACACAAGCAAGATAGCACGATTTCTGGGGTGATCAAAGTCAAAAACTGGAATCGGTTGTTTACCTTTAACCTACTTGGGGGGTGACTTTGATACAGCTAGAATGATGGGGACAGTCAAAACACGTGTACAGACTCAACAAAGGATTTCAAATGATCACGCGACACAATGTACTCCAAACATTGGACAGTGAATCCACCATGTGCTGTCCTTGGCTTCTTTTGGGGGACTCTACGATCTTCCTTGATGCAAGGAATGTGTTCCATGTTTGTACCCAAGAAGAGATCATCTCACCTAATCCCTAGCCCTCCTCTGCTCCTTGTTTGGACAAAACACTTTCCGAAAAGCCCCTTCCACACAAAACACAACAGCCTAAAGTGGGCATCAACCCACCTTAGAGAGACCAACTGACTCTGACGGATTCAACAAACAAACATGAACCCAGGAATTGGTCCCCTGAAAGGAAACCACAACAAATGGCTTATAAGGCTCATTCCATTTCTCATTCCCTGCCTATCGCACCAGCAAGACGAGCACGTTCAAAACGCAACAAGCTCCGCGCAGACCGCTTCACCCCGCCTGCTTGAGGCTGTCTTGGAGCTCTCCGGACTCTTGCAGTGGCACAAGTCCTCACGAAAAGCCACGCGGCTGTCGCAGCCACCGCATTGCCGATTCCATTGCCTGATTGCGTGGGTAACTTACCAAGGAAACCACCCCATCAAATATAGCAAAAACCATGGCGAAGGGTTGCCAACTATACTCGGTTGCTTTCTGCTTCCCTGCTAAAAGTGAATAACTTTTAGTTGTTTGATACGGAAAACCCACGAGTTGGCAAAAAGTTAGAGTCCTAACATCCAAGCAAAATGCAACAAAGTGCGGGTACCGTTTTGGTTGGTGTCAAGGAAAGCCAAAGGGAAACCAACGATTTTGGCATTGGGACTGCAACCCAGCTGTCGTTACTTAAACCAGCAGAAAAGAGCCCCCATTCGTCTGATATGCTCATGAACCGTATGATGCCATCAAAACAAAATCCGGTTGTGCAGTTATGCATATGTTGATATACACAATATCATAATCCCTTTAGGACAAGCTGCGCAACGTGCGACATACATCTGTATTACTATCAACTTTGACTTCAAGGATGAGCGAACAAGAGAAACAAAAAAAGTCGGAGAGACAATTGAGAGGGGGGGAGAGATGGGATTTGAAGTGAGGGAAAGCCGTGAGCTTGAATTGGGGCCAGCACGCAAAGAAGGCGTAAAAACACAAGTCTGAAGTTCTGGTCAATGAAT